GTTCTGGTATTAACTCCACTGCAAGATGCAATCGACCCAATACCCGACCTGTGGGGGCCCTTGGGGACCGCTGGTCAGAAGCTGCTTCAAGGGGGGGCCCCCGGGGGCCCCCTGTTGCAGGCAGCAAGTCCTCAGGGGCCCCCTGGTGCAGCAGCAAACTGAGAGCTGCTTCTGCTACGGGGCCCCCAGGGCCCCCAGGGACATGTAAAACTGCACTTGCAACAACTGTCTCCTCAAGGAGACAGTTGCTGCCGTCAGCAGCAAATAAACAAAAGGACAGCAGCTCCTTCGTGCTGCAGCAGCAAAGAGACACACAGCCATGCAACCGACATTCCAGCAGCAGCTGCTCCATAACAGCAGCAGCAGCAGCAGCAACAGCAGCAGCAGCGCCCGCACGGCGGCAGCAGCAGCAACAACAACAATAAGAATGATTTTGTGGGCTTACGCTTGGGTGGCGTCAGTGGGACAATGATCCTGCCTCTGCTGCTGCTGCTGCTGCTGCTGCTGCTGCAGAGGAAAGCAGATGCACGCAGGCCCAGCAGCAGCAGCAGCAGGTCCTAGCAGCACAATAATCTCTTCAGGGATTAGGGGGGCCCCCAATGCGGTTAGGGGCACTCGCCAGCGCTGCAGAACGCGACTGTGGGGGCCCCCATGCCGAGCTACTGCCAACGTCCACACACGATGCTGCTGCTGCTGCTGCTGCTGCTGCTGCTGCAGCTCGGCCACATCAAGGACCAAGTCGGCTACGCGAATGCGCATGCAGTTGCTGACTAGGGGCGCTGGTTCTGCTGCAGCAGAAGCTGAACCTCCAGCAGAAGCAGGAGCAGTTGGTGCTGCTGCTGCTGCTGCTGCTGCTGCTGCTATGGATGGTGTAGGTTCTGCTGCTGCTGAGGAGAGCGCAGTGGGGCCGCGAGGCCCCTCGGGGAAGTCCAGCAGCTCAGGTGCATCTCCTGCTGTTGCTTCATTTGCTGTTGCTGCTGCTGCTACTGCTGCTGCGTCAATCGCTGCTGCTGGTGCTGCTGTTGCCGCCTCCGCTGCCGTTGCTGCTGCTGCTGCTGCTGCTGCTGCAGGAGGCCTTGATCTGGCGTTAGCCACAGCAATATCATGCAGCTCGTCCCAATCACTGCTGCTCTCCTCTTGGTGCTGCTGCTGCTGCTTCGGCTGCTGCTGTTGCTGTTGCGGCGGCGGCGCATCCAGCCCCTGTTGCTGCTCCTCCTGCTGCTGGTTCTCTGCGCCGCGTTGCAGTTTCTGCAGCAGCAAACGGTGCTGCTGCTGCAGCAGCGCCAGCTGCTGCTGCAGTCC